CCCTCCCATGGTTGGATCAACACCATTGTCATCGGGTTTGGCGTAGATGATCTTGGCAGAATAGGCAATGCTTGCCCACTTGCTTTGTTTATTCAACCATTAAGAAACAATGAATCAACGTGAATGGCTTGCCCTCGGTCTGGCGGTACAAGGTGCATGCCCAATTTAGCCAGCAAAGCAAGACGATGACATGACGAACAAGTTGCAACAAAGAGCAAATCAATCCAATGACCAAGCACATGGAGCAACACAAAGGGAAACTTACGAGCTCTAGGAGTGACACATCACTTGGCCATTGGTTTTGCATTTGTGTACGAGCTGCAATACTTATTGACCTCATGTTGAATGGTGTACCATCGATAGCCTAATGACTTCGCATTGTGGTTGTGGGTCACTTCTTTTTGTAGGGGGCGTGGTTCTTTTTGCTCATGATAGAAATCATGCATGCTGTCCCAAAACGCCGAGCCCTTTTTGCTATGTGTGTGCCTTGCAATGGATTACACACTCATGCCCAACTAGGCGCCGCACAACAATTCATCCGCATCGTCCACGTCCAACTCCATCAGCTAGGTATCCGGTGGCATATTTTGCTTTGACTGCGGCGAGTAGTCTCCTCGACTTGTCCGTTCTCATGGGCGCTGCATTGTTGATCATGTTCATCATGGCCTCATAGGATGATGACTCCTCGAACGGAAACCGCAATTGAGCAAGCTGAAGACATTGCGACTCCGTGAACACTTTGTCAGAGTTGAGGTCGACGACGTACAATTGATGGTGGCCGGATGCGTATGTGCAGGAGGCACATAGTGTTGCAGTGACTTCGTCTCGGGCTAATTGTTAAGATGGCTGCCGAGGTGACTTTGTGTCTGCATAGGTGCATAACAAAATAGTAAAAAGGTCATATAGTAGGAATAAAGCCCAAACCAAACCCAAGATGGGCGATATACTGGAAACATTTCTTCGGCTCATTTACCATCACTTGAAGGACTAAAAAAACCATACTTTCAAAGCTTGGTGTTATTCTTTTTATCAGTGATTTTTTTCCACCTTTAGCTTCTCATCAAGGGTCGTGGAAATTTTCCCAACCTTTTGGTTCACCTTATATTAATAAAATTAACTTGTCAAAAAGAAAAGGAGGAGGCCAATGGAATATTTGTTAATCTTGTTGAGCTGATGCAGGGACGGATTTCCCGTACCTGGTGTGCCCACGTTGGCGACGCCCCAAGGAGCTTATGCGACACCCAACAAACTCTAGTTGATGCCCACACGCGTCAAATAGTTGGCGTGACGCTTGACGCGTGCTCCCTGCCGGGCTAGCCCAATTAGACGTTCGTTTAATTCCGAGCGGTTTAACTATTTTTTTGCTGTTTCTAAAAAATTGCTTTTTTGTTTGTTTATTCTTGTTTGTTCTGTTTTCAGTTGTTTTACTCTTTATCTTCAATTTATATTTCAGTTTTCCTTTGCCCTTTTCTAATTTTTATTTTATTCTGTTTTTAGATGCTTCTTTATTATTTCGTTCTTTCTTGATTCCCCTGAGGTTTCGGTTTCCTCATAATGTTTTTATTTTTATTTTTTATATGTTTTCGTAATTTTACTAGTATACAATGAACATCTTTTAAATATGTATTAAACATTTTTTATGTAAGTTGATCATTTTTGTTATATACGGTGGCCATTTTTAATGCATGGTGACATTTCTGTTGTATATAACTATATATAGTGAACATATTTTAATGCATAGTTAACACTGTTTATACTATACATTAAAGTTTTTTAATTATATGTTGAACTTTTTGGTAATATATGGTGAACATTTTTTGAACAGGTGATAAAATTCTAAAATGTATATATATTTTATTTGGTTCTTATATATTTTTAAATTCTATGATAAATCTGAAAACCAGTTCTTATGGAATACAAATTGATATAAAACCATAGAAAATATAATAAAATGAAAGGAAACTTTTCAAAGGTGCGCACCACACACCTAACCATGCATAGCCAGTACGGGCCGGCCCATTATTCTTCAACCATGCGAAACTTCAGCCATTTTTTGCCTACATGCATCCAATAGGAGGCCTCGCAACACCCTACAACATCGAGGTGACTAAAATCGCGATGTCTAGGGTTTATGTCTATTTCCATTTCTGGGCCTTACCTTGTTGCCCCTTTAGCCTTTCTGTTTTTGCTAACTAGACTCCTCACTCCGCCTTTCGCCGCCCACACCTATGATCTCTCATTGGTTGACCATCTGATGGATTTCATGATGGTTGAAGCGTGGGACAAGGCTTTACCTCGCCTGCAGGGAGGTAGAAGGAGGTCTCACCTCAGTTGGCGCCTCACATCACTATTATTGGACCAGCCCAATAGTAGCCAAAGGGGTGACTGTTCGTTCTTTCTTCTTCGCTTCTTTGTTTGTTAATTTTCTCTTTTTATTTTTTTACCTTTGTTCATATTTTCTAAATATTCTAAATACATATGATTCGAAAATTAATTTACTTAGCCTTTAAACAAATGTTCACTGTGCATGTGAGAAATATTAACACAATGATTTTTTTTCTTCATACAGTTTTGAAAAAAATGTTCGCACCATTCAATAAAACGTCTCAGACAATTAAAAAATGATCATGCATTTCAAAAAAGTTTAATTTTAAATGAAATTAAAAAATTATTCGCATAGTTTCAGAAATGTTTCTTACAGTTCAAAAAATATTCATAATATTTTTAATTTTTTATCCAATATAAAATATGTTGTGTTATTTAAAAAAATGTTTCATACCATTGAAAATAATGTTCAAAATATATGAATTTTTTAACATAGTGAAACTTGTATTTGAAAAGTAATTCATAATGTATTTGTAAAATGTTCAACATGTATCAGCAAAATGTTCTCTGTGTATACAAAATCTTTGACTTGTATTTTAAAAGTATTCATCATGTATACTGAAAATTGTCTATTATCTATTTGAAAAATGTTTCACATGTAACTATAATATATTCAGCGTCTATGAAAAATATATGCAATGTTTATTTGAATTGGTTTTTACAAGTATTACAAATATCCTGAAACATGTATTTGAAGAAATGTTTCACATATAGTTATAAAATAGTAAACGTCTATTAAAAATATATGCAATGTTTATTTGAATTTTTTTCACATATATTACAAAAATGCTCAAACATGTATTTGAAAAAATGTTCTCATCTATTTGAATTTTTTTCTCAATTCCTATAAAAAATGTACAACATGTAAAGAAAAAGTAGAAATTTTGTATTAGAAAAATGGACATGCAACTGAAGAAAGAAGAGTAACCAAAACAAAACCAAAAAAAGAAAACAAAATATGAAAACAATAAATAAAACATAAAATATAAATAAATAAATATTTTTGAGGTTTTTTATTAGGGGAACCTTACCAAAACTCGGCCGAAACGGATGGAATGAGCCATGTTATTGGGCCGGCCCATCCCACCGGTCGCTTGAGGCGTGACGGAGCTCTGTTTCACAAAGAGCAAAACATGGCCCTCACTGAAGTGTGGGCACAACCTATGACGGTACAAGATCTTGAGGCCTGGAAAAAAAACCATATCAGTTTTGATGCTCTAGCTATGGTGCACGGAATCAATAGCATTGCTTGTTGCATCTACATTTGGGTGATGGGGAAGGAAGCAATTAACGGATGGGATTTTCATCCATGAACACACGGCTTCTAATTTGAATGCTCATAGTTTAGTTTGAAGCGTCTTGCTGATTGCAAGTGGTCGTTTTTGACTGATCCCTGCACTAGTAGAAAAACGGACATTTGTCCCGGTTCATGAGGGCCTTTAGTCCCGGTTCTGGAACTGGGACTAAAGGTCCGGTACTAAAGACCCTCCCTCTTAGTCTCGATTCTTATACGAACTGGGACTAAAGGCCCTCCACGTAACACCAACCGGGACTAAAGGAAATTTCACGATTTCTTTTTCTGATTTTCAAATTTCTGAATTATTTTACCACTTAATCTCTAATCACTGCTCAATTTAACCTCTAATGTCTAACCACTCTTCATCATTCCAAATTATCTAACTTCCTGGTCGGTCACTCATCCTCTCACTACCCTAGCCTGAGCACACTTAACTTCCGGGTTCTATTCCCCATCGTTTCCAAGTCTGCACTTGTTGTTTTTCTGACAATAGTAAGATGTCAATCCTATTAACCCTCAGGAGTTTAACTTGAGCATGAAGTCACACGTTTCAGTGTTTGAGTTTGAAACTATTAT